TTCTTTCTTTCTTATTTATTTCTGAAGGTTCCTCTCCTTCCTTTCCTCCCAGTCCCCACATCTCCTCTCTGTCCCCCATACCCACTACTCCTCCATTTCTGTAATCACTATAACAATCCACTGGCTACAGTCACTCCTGCTACAGGCTCCCATCTAGTCCTGATGCTAATACTAGATGTGAGCTGTATTTTCTCCTCTTGAGCTTTCGTTTTAGAGAAAAAGTATGAAGTGAGGTTTAGACTCTACATGAGATCCAAACAGTTTATTAAATTTGTTCATCCACTCAGTTGTTCAACAAATGCATATTACGCTCCTGCTTTCTCTCCAAGGCTGAGTGTCAAGCATTGGGGGTCTCAGCAGATGAAACAGTCAGTTGGGGGCTGCAGCCTGAAGTGCAGGTGGCCTTCCTTCTGTACTGGCCCCAGCTCATCCGTGCCCCTACCCAGGAAGGACACTGAGGCGGGCCAAGTTGACCTCTCGGTTTCAGGGAGGGAGCCTTTCTCCGGGTCCTCCGCTGCTCTTAGGGACAGAATAGACAGGGAGGTGCCCAGAACCAGAAGTGAAACTTCACAACAGGCTTGTGAGCTCACAAGCATTGTCATCTCTGGAGCCTGAGAGAATGCCAGCTCAACTGCTCAGTTACAAGGCTCTCTGCAGGGCGTGTGGGACCCGAGCCCCTGCAGTCACTTTGCCCAGCTGGGCACCAAGACCAGCAAGGGATCTTTTGTGCTTCCCCCTCCTATCCCCCCACATAGAGCAGGTGGCCAGGAAGTCAGGCTAGTTTCAGGGAGTGTCAGCAACTGTGCATTGAGCTCACAGATGGACATCATTCACTTGGCTGTGGCCCCACCAGGCAGCTTTGCTGTTGTGTATCCCCAGGCTGTCCTCTGAGTTTTCCCTTAGTCACCTATCAGGGGGAGGGCAGGGACACCTGGCAGGGTTGCTCTGATGAGTCATCTCTGTGTTTCCCTCTGACCTCCATGGGGCTTCTTAACGAGAAATTGTTACAAGGCCCTGGGTATATAGGCACATAAAACAGGAATGCAAGCCAAACATCTACCAGAGCTAAATCATGAAGAAATCCTATGGTATACCTATGATTTACCACTTATTATTATTATTTTTTTGGTTTTTACGAGACAGGGTTTCTCTGTATTGTTGGAGGCTATTGGTCCAGCCCAGCCTCGAAATCACAGAGATCCGCCTGCCTCTGCCTCCCAAGTGCTGGGATTAAAGGCGTGCGCCACCACCGCCCGGCTGATTTACCACTTACTAAAGTTAAAAATAAATTACACACACTGGGAATGGATGTACCTGAGCTTTTTGTTTTCCTCCTTCTCAGAAAGCGCTAAATCTTGGCTTGAGATGGGTCAGTTGGTAAAGTGCTTGCTCTACAAGCATGAGGACCCGGATTTGATCCTCCAGAAGCCTTGTAAAAAAGCTGGGCGTTCCAGGCCTGGTGGCACACACCTCTAATCCCAGCACTCCAGAAGCAGGTGGATCTCTGTGAGTTTGAGCCCAGCCTGATCTACATCGAGAGTTCCAGGACAGCCAGGCTACATAGAGAGACCCTCTCAAAAACAAAACAGAGTAAAACCCCCTTCCCGAATCCCACAAAAAAAAGCTGGACGTGAGGGTGCTTTCTTGTAATTTCAATGTTGGGGAGGTGAAAGCAGGTGGTTCCTGGGGATCCCTGACCAGCCAGTATAACCTGCTTGGCAAACCCCAGGTTCCAGGGAGACCCTGTCTCAGAATCTCAAACCAGCCAACCAACAAAGGCAGACAGTACCTGAAGAATGATACCAAGCTGTCCTTTGTTCTTCTTGTATGTTTCATGTGCACAGTTATATCTTAACTCTTTTTTTGTTTTTTACCAGGCAGGGTTTCTCTGTATTGTTTTGGAGGCTGTCTGTCCAGCCCGGCTTCAAACTCACAGAGATCCACCTGGTTCTGCCTCCCGAGTGCTGGGATTAAAGGCATGTGCCACCACTGCCCGGCTATATCTTAACTCTTTTTTTTTTTTGTTACTGAAAGTAAAGCTAAGTATTTATTGTAGGAATTACTCACAAGATACCAAACCCAGAGGAGCCAAGCAGTTTTCAGCTGCCGAAACGGAAGCCGAACTCCAGGAAAAGAGCATATCTTAACTCTTGAATGAAAATGTGATATGTCAGGGCATCTTCAGTGTTAGTCAGAGTTGATCTTTTGATTTTGTAATTGTCAATGCTGAGAACAATGCTTCACATAAATACATGGAACAAAATGCAAAAGTATGGCTTGGGCCATTTCAGAAAGTATTGTGAATTCTGTCCTACTAATCCCAATCCCAAAATCATTTAACAATTTATGGTGTGTGTGTGAGTGTGTGTTCTGATCATCTCAGTATGAGAGCTCATGAGCCAGTGCTTACACGGAGGCCTGAGCAGGGCATTGGATTATTTGCTCTATTGCTCTCCATGATTGTGCTTTGAGATGGGGGGTGGGGTGGGTGTCAGACTCATCACTGTTTTGGCTGTCTGGCTAGCAGCTCTGGAGCTCCACCTGTCTCTACTCCCCAGTACTGCAGCATATACAGCCATGCCTTGCATTATTTTATTTTATTTTTGTTTAACACCGCTATATACTCCCACATCAACATGCTGCCTGACACAAACCCAAAGTAACAGGGTCAACCACTTCTCTTGATAAGTCAATTTCTTCCATATTTACCACAGTTGCAAAAATCTGGCTAACACAATTTTGGATATGAAAGAACTGAAGAAAGAGAATTCTCACGAGTCCTAAAAACCTGTTAGAGAAAAATACAACCAAAATGACTAAAACTACAAAAAAATAAAATGTGAAGAAATTACTTGTAGGATACATAGTTACTTACTTTACTGAGACTGAATGAGAATTGTGATGGAGATAATATGCCATGCAATAGCTATATGCTCTGACAATGAAGCTACAAGACCATTTCTAAAATATGAAGAATTCCAAAGATATGAGGAACTGAGCGAGTGAGATGGCACACTGAGCAAAGGTGTTTATTGCCAAGCCAGATGACCTGGGTTTATTCCCAGAACTCACACTGTGGAAAGAGAGAACCCCCTCCTGAAAACTGTGCTCTGATCTCTACATTAGCACTGTGATAGGCATCTGTTCAAGTGTGTACACAATAAATAAATAAACATAAAAAGAATGTGGCCGGGAGGTGGTGACACACACCTTTTTTTTTTTCCCCCCCCTCGGGACAGGGTTTCTCTGTATTGTTTTTTGTTTTGGAGGCTGTCCTGGAACTCGCTCTGTAGACCAGCCTGGCCTCAAACTCACAGAGATCCGCCTGCCTCTGCCTCCCGAGTGCTGGGATTAAAGGCAAGTGACAGGACAGCCAGGACTACACAGAGAAACCCTGAATGCCTTGCAAGTTGTTTTGAAATAGGTTAGGGTTCCATTCTGTTCTGAGACCATCTCTCTGCAGTCAGATGCTCTAACCCTGAGCTATATCCCTGAGGCCATCCCTCTGACATGCTTTTCCTGTCAGTGGAAATGCTATTTTGTTCCTTCTTGCTTGAATTAACTTCATTTAGGATTTTGCTCAAGATTTTTCTTCTTTCCTTCCTTTTTTTTGAGATAGGGTTTCTCTGTATTGCTTTGGAGCTTGTACTGGCACTTGCTCTGTAGACAAGACTGGTCTTGAACTCACAGAGATCCACCTGCGTCTGCCTTCTGAGTGCTGGGATTAAAGGCGTGCGCCACCAATGCCTGGTGTCTCAAGACTTTTCGGTAGTATATGTCAAAGTCATTTTCCTCAACTGAAGAGACTGGAAGAGCACTTTAAAAAAATGTGGTTTTAATGCGGCACACAAAAAAGATGGCAACCTTTTGTGGGGGTTTCTTGGCTCAGTTTCTGGCCTCGACTTATAATGGTCGTTCTTCTCCTCTTGGATTGCTCTGATCCCACTCACTTAGGTGGGCTTTAGAGAGATTAATAAGCTCTGCTAAGCATCATATGATCTTCCCAGCAGGAGAGATTGAGACAGGATTTCTCTGTGTTTAGGATACACCTTGAACCGTTCATCCCCTGTCTCAGTCTCCAGCATTTACAGGCATCCACCACCACACCCAGCCTCGGATCAATTTGTCTAGTGGCCAGTTGCACATTGAACCACAGGCAGGAAGAGATGATAAATGTCGGAGAGCTAGTTGTTCCTGTCTGTTGCCTGGCTTCCAATTCTGCTCCTTGTACTCAGTTCCTGCAGACTTGACCTCTGATCCTTGCATCTGGCTCAGGAGAGGGACATGTGGTAGGTTCCCCACCCCTGGCCTTTGAGTGTCCTCTGGGGCATTTCTTCCTCAGGCAGGTTCTGGAGAACAGAAGGGAAGAAGTGCCTCCATCACCTAAGAAAAGAGGTGGGCATTGGTTGTGGAGGGTCTGCTGTGAGCCTGTACAGCCATCTGCTGGCCATATGTTTTATTACACAGAAGAGAGGCCACAGTTCCCACCTTAGCCCATGGAGTAGATTAATCTTTTTTTTTTCTACCTAAAAAGATATATTTATGTTAAAATAATGATAATAACAGGAAAGAAATAAGCTTGGCGGTGGTGGCGCACGCCTCTAATGCCAGCACTTGGGAGGCAGAAGAGGCAGGAGGATCTCTGTGAGTTCAAGACCAGCCTGGTCTACAAGAGCTAGTTTCAGGACAACCTCCTAAGCCACAGAGAAACCCTGTCTCAAAAAAAAAAAAAAAAAAAAAAAAAAAAAAAGGAAAGCGTTTCTTTCTTTACTGTCTAGACATGTACACCTTTGTTTTTTATAGGACAGGGTTTTTGGTTTTTTTTGTTTTTTTTTTTACATAGCTCTTGTTTATGTAGACCAGGCTGGCCTCAAATTCACAGAGATCCATCTGCTTCTGTCTCCTGAGTTCTGGGATTAAAGGTGGGTGTCACCACGCCTAGCTACACCTTTATTTTTAGAAAACATAAGTAATGTGCACTTTTTTCTCACATTCCCTAGCTCAAGACTTAGCTTTGGATTCCACTTGGCTGGACACCAGAGAGTAAGGGCATTAATTCATCTTCCTATTTCTGGGTCTGGCTGTGTGGGGCAAGAGAGAGCCTGTGTGGGCTTAGTGCCCAGGATTTGTGGTTCTGCTCCCTTTTCACAGGAGAACGGACTCTGCAGACATGGACCTGGAGGTGGGGTGGTTACCCTGGCTTCCTGGGGTGGCCCTGTCCCATCACCTGAGCCATTCTAGGAGAATTGTCCTTCTCCGTAAGCAGAGACTGTGTCTTGGTTTCAGTTGCAGATGCAGCAGTGAAGGATTGGAAGCTGGAAGGAAGGAAACCCAAGTCAAGGAATCTAAGTGGCTTCTGGAAACAGTGTTCTAGAAGAAAGCCACACTCATGTTGCAGACTGACTGACAGACTGGTTGGAACCTCATGGTGGCGGAGAGTTGGACACTGTGGATGTGAGGCTAAAATTATCTCAGGTTCTCTTAAATACTAGTTGCCCGCCTCTGTGCCTCACCTAACATCATTTTCTGAATGTGTATATGTGTACATGTGTGTGTGTGTGTGTGTGTGTGTGTGTGTGTGTGTGTGTGTGTTTTCACATGGAGGCCAGAGGATAACCTTGGATGTTGTTCCTCAGGACTGTCTACCTTGTTTCATCAGTTTCTCTTTAAATAATTATTTGCTTACTAAAGAGTGGGGGAGTATGTGGAGGCCAGAAGACAACTGTGGGAGATTGTTCCTCTCTTCTATCCTGTGGGGTCTTGGGATTAAACTCAGTTCACCAGGATTAGTAGCAATCACCTATACTCAGTGAACCATCTCGATGTCCCCACCTTGTTTGGGGTAAAGATTCTTCTCTCACTGACCTGGAGTTTGCCAGATGGGCTAGCCTGGCTAACTAGCAAGGCCTGAGGATCTGTATGTCTCTGCTTTCCGAGTGCTGTGATCACAGGTGCATGCCATGCACACAGCTTTTCTACATGGCTTCTGGGGACTGGACTCAGGGCCCCATGCCTGGATGGCAAGCACTTTCGTGGCTAGAACCTTTCTGATGTATTAGCCTAGCACATCACTAGCTTCTAGCAACCCAAATCTAAGTGGGTGGTCAGATAACATTTGAGACTTATAATAGACTTCTTGGATTTGTTATGACTTACCTTCCCAGTGGTAATATATGAAAAATGCCTGGACTTATGGCTTTATTTTCTTCTGTAACTCTAAAAAATATCATAAGTCATATCCACATCGGAGCATGTTGTAGGGGGTAGTAGCCTGAACCTGTGTTCCTGGGCCATGTCCACCCATATTTGGCTCAAGAATAAATTCTTATTTCCTCTGATGTGTGAGCCACACTTTATGTCAACACTTCTACCTGCTGAAAAAAGTGGATGTTTCTGGGAGTCCTGCAGAGGAATGCAGACCTGCTGGCATCTTGGTATCTGTCCCAGGGACCTGTAAGCACAGAGGTTTCTGGTCTTAGATGATGCTCATCTGATGATGTTGTGTGTAGTCATGGGTTACAAGATCGGAAATGACAGGTGGCATGTACATAGAAAGTGTTACAAGCTCCCCTTTCATGTATTTCATAGTCATTTTCTGAGTACCTACTGTGTGCCAGGGATGTGCTCAGTGCAGGATTATAGGAGTGAACATGGCTCTTCAGTTACCGAATTTAGGGTCACTGTCTGTACTCCAAGAGGTCAAATTTGGTCATCTGTCCTTGTGACACCAATTAAAACATCCAAGTTAATAGCAAAAAAAAAAGAGTAAAAGGAGATTTAATGTGGTCACATTGGGAAAAGAGGCAGAGATCCAGCGACTCTCTCAAGTCTACCTTGGTGGTCCTGAAGTGAGATTAAAGTTTAAACAGAAGTTTGAGCAGTCCTGGCCAAGGTGTAGCCATGCCCACCACTGACCATCTTTGTCTGGGCCTCAGACTTATCCTGCAAAGTGAACATTTGACAAGTTGTGAATCTCTTTGTAGGAGACCAGTTCTCCCTCTGGCTGACACATGTTCTTATTTTCACCATGTGATTCCTGGGGAGGTTCCCATTTCATCAGGGCTCACTGTTTCAATAATCTAGCATTTACACTGAAAGATCCAAGTGTTCCTATTGAATGTCTTCAATTCTGCCAGGCCAGTTATTTTGCTTTCACGGTGGTGGTGGTGGGGGTGGAGTGGGTGGGCAGCAGAGCAGTAGAACATTACTAGCAAATCACAAGCACACATGCTCCCAGTGGGTGCAGGGAGTTGTGAGGGTGTGGAATAGTGGTCCCTCCAGACCTCAGGCCACTCCTTTTGGGAGCCATTTTCTTTCAAGTCACCACAGAGGGCTACCTGGATGGTGGGCCAAGAAGACATGGCCTGATGTATGACTGCACCCCCCACCCCTTTCCAGAGTAGTTCTAGAAAAAGCCTAGCCTGGGCTCAGGGCCATGGTTTCAGATGGTAGATCCAAGTCTGGGTTTGGGATCTTGCGGCTACAGGCGAAGGGGTAGAAGCTGGAGTACCTGCCTGGGCTCTGGGGGGGTGGGGTGGGGAGTTTCTCTCCGATGGACCTTGCCCTGAGCTCTCCTGTTGTATCCTGAGGTTTTCAAAGCCTCCTAGCAGCTGCCCTTGCACCTACAGTGTAAAGGCATGGAATGAATTCCTTTGGAAACACCTGCCTTTGTAGACTGGGGCATCTTCTCCAGCTAGCAGTGGGTGGGGTCATACCCTCTCCTCCCCAGTCCTCCCCTTCCCCCTCCCCTTTCCTATCCTTCCCTTTTTTCTTTTCTAACAGTTTCTTTTTACATATCTATCCCAGGCTGGCCTTGAACGTACAGGCATTTCTGATGGGAATTGGGGGGCACTGAGTGATTTATACTGTTAAGATGGGTCTGGATGCAGATCAGAAAGACCCAGTGGACCGACCCCAAGTCAGCGAGAGCACAGGGTGGAGACGATGTGCTGCTCCAACTGCCCGTCTGCTTCTGTCCCATTCAGCCCAGATGGATCTTACAGAGTGAATGGTAGAGCTTCTGGGGAATGAATTTGGTAGAGAAGACGGTGCCTTCTGGCCCCATAGTGTCTCCTCCGCTCTTCACCATCCCGACACTGCATTTCTTAAGTAGCTGTCTGATGTGGAAACTTTAAATGAAAGTGGGAGGAGGATGGCAAATGGCTGGCTCAGCGGACGGAGCGCATTCTGTGCAAGCATGGTTGTGGAGGAAGCCCTGTGATTATGTCAATAAAGCACTGTTGAGCCAATAGGAATCTAGATAGGTGGGACTAGGAGTCCAGGAGGACTCTGGGAAGGAGGAACACAGAGAGTCGAGATGTAACGCCATGGGGTAGGAAGCCCGGAAACTTCTCCGGTAAGAGATATACTTAGATTAACAATTATGGGGTAATTACTTAAGTCAGAGCTAGCCAGTAAGAAACAAGCAAGGCCAACAGCTTCATAATTAATATAGCCTCCTGTGTGTTTATTTGGGACTGATGCGGCTCTAGAACCAGGCTGGCGGGAAGGCTTCTCTCAAGAGAAAAGCTTCCCTTTACACATGGTGATCCGGGTTTGTCTGGAGCACACACAAAAGTTCCGTGTGGTGTTCTGCTTCTGGACTCTCAGCACTCCTCCTGGGAGATGGGAGGAGACAGGAGCATGGCCCATAAGCTTGAGGGGGGCATACTCTGGAGTACACATGGGGGGGAGGCAAGTAGTCTGGAGTACACAGTGTGGTAGAAGACACAAGGGAAATGGCCTCAACAAGTCAGATGGTGGTAACTCTCTAGAAAGTTGTCTTCCAGTCTCCACATGTGTATTGTAGCACATGCATTATTCCCCCATTGCGTGCGCACACCAACACACACACACTGTAAACTACCCACTGAACACACACATGCACACACATACACTGCACACACACACTATACACACAAATGTCATGTCAGTGAGTATCAAAGTAAAAATGGGCAGGGGCCACAGGGGCATTCTCACAGACTTGTATGTTGTGAAAAGTGATCATAGAGGACATTGGTTGTGGCACTGTCTAGAGGAATGGAAACTTGGAAACAGTCCAAGTGTCAACATCAGGGGCTTGGAAAAGTAAGTTGTGGTACAGATGGGAGATGTCAGTAGGCTGACAGCTTCCTTAGTTAAAATGAACGGCCTCAATGAATTGACATGCAAAGAGCTGAAAAATTGCGCAGAATCGGAAGGCAAGCATTTTAGGAATTTATATGTTGAGAAGAATGAAAACAGGGCAAAGGGAGGTGCACACTGCTTTCATCCATCAATGAGCAAATTAATGCCTCATTGTCTGAGAAATTCTTTGTAATCTCTCTGATCTAAGTTAGTGTCTGACTTCTATGGGGGACCCTTCCCTGACCCCTGTACTGGGTAGGAACATTTATATATCTTTCCTTCACGTCCCTTGTTATTGTTGTATGATTATATGGTTAATGTCCATCTTCTCCACAAGCCTCATTTATTCAGAGACTCATGCCACTTTCTTCAGTAAAGCATCTGGTACCTGGTCCAGCGCCTGCCACTTGCTGGATGCCCAGTGAATGAATGGTTTTCTGAGTAACTGCATCTTTGGGTCCTTGTTTGTAAAAAGGATAACGATTCCTTCTGCATGTTTGTAAAATTGAAAAAATGGTGTGTGTATGTGTGTGTGTGTGTGTGTGTGTGTGTGTGTGTGCGCGCGCGCATGTGTATGTGGAGGATAGTGATCAATCTTGGCTGTTGCTTCTCATGAACTGTCCACCTTGTGTTGTAAGATAGGGTCTCTCACTGGCCTGGAGCTCATCAAATAGACCGTCTGGCTGCCTGGCCAGCAACTCCAGGGACCCAAATGTCCCTGCCTCCCCAGAGCTGCTATTAAGCTCATGACACCATGCTTGATGTTTTATTTATGTATTTATTATTATTATTATTATTATTATTATTATTATTATTATTATTATGACAGAATCTCACTGTTTAGCCATGGCTGGTCTGGAACTCGCTGTATAGATCAAGTTGACCTTGAACTCACAGAGATCTACTGTGGTCCTGGACTAAAGCCATGGACCCTTAAATGTGAGCTCTAGGGGTTAAATTCAAAGCAAGTTGTTTACTAAACAGCCATCTCTCCAGGCCCATGACTCTTTCTTTAGACAGTTGTTAGAATTTGAAACACAATGGATGAATACAACCTATGAAAGAGGTGGGTATTAGGACCTGTTTATTTATTTATTTAGGATTACTTTGTTATTTTTTAATGTATACATATGTTTTTGCTGCATATATGTCTGTGCATCACACGTGTGCCTGGCACCCTTGCAGGTAAGAAGAGAATGTTATTCCCTAGGACTGGTGTTACAGTTTTGAGCAGACACGTGGGTGCTGGGAATTGAACCTAGGCCCTCTAGAGGAGTAGCCAGTACTCTTAACTGTTGAGCCATCTCCTGGCCCAGAACCTCAATTTG